TTTTTTTTTTAGATAGTCTATAGATGAAGTCCAAGCCATCCAGCTTACATTGGCTGATTTATTTTTCTTGCTGTGCATAATAAATAAAGAAACCATTAAAAGCGTGAATGATGACTGAAAGGTTGCCCGGCCATTTTATTTTTACTACCCAACGTGAGCAACGCAAAAAAATTGCAGTTGACTGTGACACTAAGAGGCTCTGAGCAGAGACTTAATGTTTTCTTGTGTGACAGTCAGTGCATGAGTTGATGAGAATCAATGGATAAACCTACTTTTTCTTTTTTGATGGCCCTGACACATTTATGATGACTGATCTACAAGCACTGGAGCATCACTGTGGTGCCCAAAACTCAATTAAACAAAACTACAAAATTAATCAATTTGATGTTGTAACTATTTGAAACATTCGGGGATTACCAGTTATTACAATGCAATTTTACTCTCAGCACAACTGTGAAGCAAATGCTGGTGAAAACTGTGGACCACTTAAGTCAGTGGCGTTTATCCTCCGGGGAATGTGAATAACCAAAAAATAAATAAATTAAAAATCAATCCATCCAATATCTACTAAACCAAAATGAGTGACTTTGCCATCCGTAGAGCCTTGCTGCCAGCAACATGCAAAAGTTCCTAAAGCTTAAGATCACTGCTTTAAATGTTTTGTTTAGAGCAAAGATGTTCCAGTAATATGACACAATGAAAGGTGGAACATCCGTACAATTGTGAAGTTGAAACCAAAAAATGTATGCAATGAATTAAACTATAAATTCATTATCAAAACGGAAAAAAGCATCTACAAGACCCTCAAAAGCAGTCCAAATATATCAGGGTCCATCTACATTTTAAAAAATGGACTTTAAAGGTGGACTCTGTTTAGCTAGTTGGCAAATTTTATAGTTAACGTGCTAGATTTACAAGAAAGGTCCAACTGCTAGCATCACTCATGAGGCGCCTGATGTTGTTGGGTTCTAAGCAGTAACAGTCGTCCTTCATTGTATAACTTTAACTAATTTCATCTCAGTAATCCACCAAAGCTTCTTTCTGGACAAATCTTGAGAAATAGTCAGTCCAGATTCATATTAGATTTTAAAAATTTATTTAAAAAAAGGCATTCTGGTTGCTTTGCCGGGCTTAAAGCGAGAAACAACAAAAGCAGCTACACGTGCAAGTCGTGGTCGTCCTTCGATTATTGGAGTAACATTACTTAGCTGTACAAGAATGTGCGTTTTTTTTTACTCTAATAGGTTCATAACTGGAGTTACACTCATCAATGCAATAGAAGGAACTTTAAAGCTCGCACTTAGGGGGCCTGAGGAGAGAAGTCTGAAGTGCTGACGTTGGATTAACAGATGGTTTACAAAAGACAGCTGTGCCATTATGTCTGAAAAGTGAAGCCAACATCCTTAAACCTGCATTCTGTCTGACTGCCAGCAGAGGGCAACTTCCTGGGTTGCAAAAACAAGTGTGACTGTATGGAAGTCTATGAGAAATGATCTTACTTCTTTCTTGATCTGCTACTTCGTTAAACGATTTCCTAATTGGTATATGGTCTCACTCGTTAGTTGCAGGACTTTCTGAATACATTGTGGTGTTCATTTGGTCAATTATGGTCCCACTTGCAGTAAAATAGACGTTGAATGCCGGGTATGTTTTACTGCGGGACTACCTTGTAGTTCTAGTGTCCTCGGGTTCTCCCATCAGATCCCCCACTCAGTCATTACATCCGGTTTTGGACGACCAACACTGTGAACAGCCAAATGCCACACTGAAGGCTTTATGTCCATCTTTTACTTTTCCTGCCCCTTTTCAACCAGTCCTGTGCACAAGTAGAACAGTGACGTATGGATCATTGCAAGCCTCTTTCTTTGTTTCCCATTTGTAGACCCAGAACTGTGCACCAACACAAGATCTTATTCAGGGCACATAGAAACGACAGCTGGCATCACATACGGACACAACATAATAATTGGATTTTTTTAAAAACATACTGTATTCATATCTTTACCTTTAAGGAACAGTTCAGCTAATCTGTTCTTTAAATACACAAATAACGAGTTAGCTTACTTTCATTCTTGTTTGTAGAAAGACTTCGGAGACATCTGTTGTTTCCGTTGCTGCATGTTACTTGGATGCATAATATCAAGTCGAGATTTCAAATCAATGCCACCGGAAGCTTTTCACTGAGAGTTTTATTCTGGTTACAGCAGTTTAATAAAGCTGATGTTAAACACAACACCCTCCTACAGTGCAAAACGCTAATGCAGGTGTTAGTCATTACCATTTGATGACAAGTGGGAATGATGTTTGTGGTTTTTAGTGATATTTTTGATTGATCAGATAGCCTGTGATCGACAGTTGTCATTCCCAGGAGAAGGTCAAACCTCTCGGCAGCCATAGTTGCACACAATAGTGAGTCAGCATTTGATTTGAAGATCAGAGGAGTAGCTCCAGGGCAGGAGTTATCAAAGCACTTTGGCAAGCCTTCAGAAGACTCCACAGACTGTGTGTGATTCAACAGGAGCAGTGTTTTTAAGACTGCTGAAGAGACAGACTTCATCAGTGCAGTCTGAGGTATGATTATTATTTACCTGTACGATGGTCTCATCACAGGTACAGAAGTTTTAATGGCTGAGGATTGTGTTTTGCGGAAATTAAGCCCAAAGCGATGAATTGCATTGCGTTACTGTGAAGGAAAAATGACCCTTTTTCTGTACAAGAATGACAGCGGACGTCATGCCAAATGATCCTGTACAGGCCTG